GAGAATCAAAATTCTAGGATATACTTTACAGTAGTATTTACAGATTTCACGAGATGGAATGTAGTAAAAATAATTAATCGACTTCTTCGACGGTAGGTCCTCCTCTAGCACCCGGGAAACCTTGGGCGCCAGGAGCCGCGCCGCCGGGTTGTCCACCGCCGTGTATCTTCATCATGAGAGCAGAACAACTCTTTTGGATCTCCTTCAGTTTGTACTCGTACTCTTCTTTGTCCGCCAACTGATTGTTGTCCAACCACTGAACGACCGCGTCGCATTCCTGTTTGGCGGCGTTCTTCTCGGATTCGGTCAACTTGTCGCCGGCCTCGTCCAACGCTTGTTTCACGCCGAACACGTAGCTCTCCAACTGGTTCTTGGCCGCGATCTTGGCCTTTTGCCGTTCGTCTTCTTCTTTATAACGTTCCGCCTCGCTGAGCATACGATCGATTTCGGCTTGAGACAGTCGACCCTTGTCGTTCTTGATGACGATGTTCTTGGAGCGGCCGGAGCTGTTGTCCTTGGCCGACACGTTCAATATGCCGTTGGCGTCCATGTCGAAAGTCACCTCGATCTTGGGCACACCCCTGGGCGCCGGGGGTATGCCGGTCAGGTCGAACGTTCCCAACAGATTGTTGTCCTTGGTCATGGCTCTTTCCCCTTCGAACACCTGGATGGTGACGGCCGGTTGGTTGTCCGCGTACGTCGTGAACGTTTGCGTTTGTTTGCACGGGATGGTGGAATTGCGCTCGACGATTTTCGTCATCACTCCGCCCGCGGTCTCGATGCCCAGCGACAGGGGCGTGACGTCCACGAGCAGCACGTCTTGGATCGCGGAGCTCGTGTCGCCGCTCAAGATGGCCGCCTGCACCGCTGCGCCGTAAGCCACGGCTTCGTCCGGGTTGATGGACAGGTTGAGAGGTTTGCCGCAGAAAAAGTTTTGCAGCAGACTCTGGATCTTCGGGATCCTCGTCGAACCGCCCACCAGCACGATGTCGTGGATGTCTCCCTTGTCCAACTTGGCGTCGGCCAGAGCCTTTTCCACCGGTTGTAGGGTCGATCTGAACAGGTCCGCGCACAACTCCTCGAAACGGGCCCGGGAGACACGCGTGTAGAAATCTACGCCTTCCATCAGGGCGTCGATCTCGATGGTCGCCTCCGAGCTGGACGACAACGTTCTCTTTGCCCGCTCGGCGGCCGTCCGCAGCCGTCTCAGCGCCCTCGGATTGCTACGCACGTCTTTTTTGAACTTCCTCTTGAACTCTTCGGCCAGATGACTCACCAGACGGTTGTCGAAGTCTTCGCCGCCCAAGTGCGTGTCGCCAGCCGTCGATTTCACTTCGAATATCGAACCCTCGTCGATCTGCAGAACCGACACGTCGAACGTACCGCCGCCCAGATCGAATATCAACACGTTCCTCTCGCCTTTCAGGTTCTTGTCCAGGCCGTACGCCAGGGCCGCGGCTGTCGGTTCGTTGATTATCCGCATCACGTTCAGCCCGGCTATCGCGCCCGCGTCCTTCGTCGCCTGTCTCTGCGAATCGTTGAAGTACGCCGGCACCGTGATCACCGCGTCCGTCACGCTACGGCCCAGGTACGCTTCCGCGGTCTCCTTCATTTTCGTCAGCACCATCGAACTTATTTCTTCCGGCGCGAACACTTTCCGCTCGCCTTTGAATTCAACCTGGATTTTGGGCTTTCCGCAGTCGTTCACCACTTTGAACGGCCATTGTTTCATGTCCGCTTGTGTCTTCTCGTCGTCAAACCGACGTCCGATCAAACGTTTGGCGTCGAACACGGTGTTCACCGGGTTCATCGCCACCTGGTTCTTGGCTCCGTCCCCGATCAATCTTTCCGTGTCCGTGAACGCCACATAACTCGGCGTGGTCCTGTTTCCTTGATCGTTGGCGATTACCTCTACTTTTCCGTGTTGCCAGACGCCCACGCAAGAGTAGGTGGTGCCCAGGTCGATACCGATCGCAGTCTTTCCGACCATTTTGTATTTCGCCAATAACTCGTAGGTCTCGTTCACGCACAATCAATACGAATAGATCTTATACGAAAAACGTATAATGTGATGGCACACGATTCGGTGACGATTTAAAAGTCGCTTTGATTCGCAATAAAGTCGCACTTGAATTACAGTGAATAGCACAAAGTAGCACGAAACAGTGTCTCTCGTTCGATGTGTCGCACTAGTATCGCTTCGAAATTCAAACTAAAGCCGGGCGGCGCGCCGTTACCGTTTATATAGCCGACGGAACGTTCTAGAAGGTTCGATACGTTTCGCGAGCGCTGTCGTTACCTCCACGCCGCCTCCCTCGTTCACCTCCACCCGCTTCTACGTTGTTTTAATAACGCCCACCGTTATAGAACGTACTCGAATTTTCTCCCTCTTTCTCGTTGTTTCACCGAGTCCTTATTTTTTATTGTTATATCTTTACTTTTTTTATTTTCACTTGTAAAGATTTACGATGTTTTATATTATAGCATATTGATTATAGAATAGGCTTTTTTAAATACAATTAAATTTTACTATGAGATTATGAGTCGAGTGATTTTAATAATTTTCTATTTTTTGTGTTATTATTTTTGTGACATCAGATAATCTCTCATTCCTTTTATAATTATTTCTCCTTGATAATATTTTTTTATATTTTGTTGTATTTCGACAACAATTTATCATAAATCAGTAGGTATTTGTATAACTTTTTACAGACGGTTATAAACGCATTTCTTACTAGTATAATTTTCTAAAATATCGATTCTATTGAAACCATTTATTAAAAATTTCTAATTTCAAATATTTCTTTTTCTAACGACTATAAAAATATATTTGTTGAATGTCATTTCTAGATAATTAAAAACAAAAAAAACAAATATATACACATTAATATCTAATAAAGTTGGTATGTAGGTGGTCGGGTAAAAATGTAAAAATATATATTATCGTGATAAGTTAATATTTATTAATATTTAAATTAATAAATATGCTAATACTGCTAATACAGAAAAATAAATAAAAACGCTGGTTCTAGTTGTTTCAATTCGTCACTGCAGGTTATACTTAGTTTTTAGGTAAGCACTAGTTCCTCATTAAGCTTTATTCATATAAGTATAATCATAGGCGTGACTACGGGGGCAGCAGGGGCAGCTTGTGCTGCCCCTGTAATATCTAAAAAGGTCGATGATTTGCACTTAATTTATGAAATGAAAAATATTATAATATTATTTCAATTAGATATTTTATATTGTTTTTCCTTTGCTAAAAATGCAATATTTGTATATAACTATAACATATTAACATATTATTCTAATATAAAAAGAATCGTAAACTGTAATCAGTTCATATTATATTGTTTAAACCAATGACCCAGTGGGCCGGATGGGACTGCTTGCGTATTACTTCTTCCGAGGAATTACAGGTTTGGAGCGTATAGATATAAAAATAAGACTAATCGTAATGTGTGTAAAAATAAAATTATTAGAATGCATTAATAGAGGTATATTGAAAATTCCTATGTATAATATTTTCGATAGAATTAACAAACACTACAGGACACAGATATAATATTTTATGTCCGCGACAAACACTGAAACCACGCATCGCACACACGTATAATATTATTTCATGCTCATACATAATAATATTATTTAGTATTTCTGTTATTTATTTCGCTGAGTAGTATTAATGTAATTTAAACTTTAAAGTTATAAATTTATTGTAATCATTATACTCGTATACTCGTATAGCCGTATCATGGATGTTTTTAAAAATAATAAAAAACAATTGGGAGGAGCTGCTAAAGATCGAAATAAAAAAAAAATTAAATTAATAAAGGCAGCTAAATTGGCTATCATAAAAAATTAATTAAGAAGCACTATGGGACAAGAGCGACTTAACGCATTGCTATTTTTATTCATTGAGCAAAAATTAGTATTTGACATATAGATGACATTATTGATGAATTTAAAACTTTTTCACAAAAAAGAAGACTTGCTCTTTAATAATAATATATATGTTATATGTATATATGCATATTGTATAAATATATTCCTTGTAAATTTTTAATGTCCTGCACTCCTGCGTTATATTAATAATATAATAAATGGCTTAGTTTTATAGTTTTATAAAATAATTTTCTAATAATTATTATATATGTATAAATATGTACAATAATATTATATTATAATTATTATATTAATAACACTTATCCCAAATAATTTTATGATCAAGAGTCTAGACCATTTAATTATTATGATTGTTAAGGAAAATTTGAATATAAAAAAAAAATTTGGGCCGTTTAGTTAATATGCTGCCTCTGTAAATGAAGTCTAGTCACGCCCCTATGAGTATAATAGATATAAAAATATATTGTGCCTATATAACTAATAGATTTTTCCATTTTTTGGATTTTCACATATTATATTTTCATATGTTTAGACTGTTTAGAGATACATTAAAATATTGACTGATTCAAGATACTTAATAATCTTGAATATCTGTATGCTCTGTGAGTACATAGTATAAATAATTGAAAACATAAAAATTAATGATATATGATATATGAAAGATTTTAATTCTGTGAAATTAATTATAATTCTTATTTATTATTTTTTTTTTTTAAATCACTTTTTGTGAAACTATAGACTTAAATATTATAGAATTATAATTCTTCTTCACTATTTTGGTTATCTTCGTTATCTGTAAAATGTGCTATTAAAACGTCCATTAATGGTTTTAATTTAATTTTATCATGTTCATCATATTTATACATAAGGAACATCCGTTCCAATATTTTTTGTATTTTCACACCCTCCTTGGAATAGCCTGGAAAGTTTGGTAAACCTTCCGGGTTCTCTTTAAGAGCCATATATGCCTGTACCAAGTATAATAATTAGGTATAATAATAATATAACTTCAAAGTATCAAATTTGAAAATAGGTATCCAAGTTTCATTCACCAAAAAATCAACAGGATTCTTTGGTCTCACTTTAGCAACTTGTACTATCAACTTTGTCAAGGTAGGAGTAACATATTTCATTAAGTATTCTTCGTTAGACAAACTTTCAATGCAGTCGAAATCCGTTACTTTCTCGAAATCTTCTAGTAATGTCATCTATAAAATTCGTAGATACTACTATTAAAACAATATTAGAGATAATATAATATTTATTATTATTTCTTTATTCTATTTCCGTTGTCATAAATAGGAATTAGATACAAAAAAAGTTATTAATAAGGCTCGGAAATCATCAGATTTACATGTTTTTCTATACTCTTTCATTTATAGCTGAACTAAGTAGGTAACAATTGGATAAATAATACACATTACACATAGGTAGGTGCGAGTTAATAAATGACTGTTTTGCATAAAAAAACTGATTTTTCAATAAAAGTATAATGTGTTTTGTAGGTATATTTTAAAGAAGATATTGTGATTATTAAAAATAAAAGGTAGAGATAAACTATACTAAATAAATAAAAAGTTTTCGGCTGTTAAAATTATTGTAATATGCAGATAAATATACAGCCGCTGACCTATACTTAATGTTTTTTGCTACAAATAATCAATTATCAATGATACATAGAACATGGCTATAACAGGTATAGGTATTAAATTTAAATATGATGAATGAAACCGATTAATAATTATTGATTTAATTAATTAATTTTATTGTTATTACATAATTAAATTAAGTAATAAATACTAAGTATATCACGGGCGCTAAGAGGGGGTAGCAAGACAGAGCATTTGCCATCTTCCCCCGCGGACTTCAATTATAATTTTTTTTAAAGCGGTTCATTTACTGTGTTTACACATAGCGCATAGTGATATTATCATCTCGTATTTATTTTATATATTTAGTTCATTTTTGGTGTATATTTGATATATTTTTACATATTTAACATATTATCGTGCATTTATTTAATTTTACATAAGTATATTTTTGAGCTGAATACAATTTTTATTTATAACCGTATGGAATTTTTCGTTTTAATGTTATAATTTCACGGAACAGTGCTTAGGGTTTCTTCAAACAACCGATAAATAATATTATTATGTTACCGTATACCTTAGTCCATAGTGCATCATTATGTACCCAAAAAGTCTAGTTACATGTTTTTTTCGTAATCGTATTTTTGTGAAATTGCCATCATAGCATCCAATGTATAATAAGATTACAGTACTACTGTAATCTCGTCTATACATTTTTTATTTTAATCATAGTTAAATAGATAAAAAAAAATATGAAATAGGTAAAAACTAAAAATATATCTATTATGTAACCGTTTTACCGTACAATGGATAAAATACATATTATTTATTACTTAGTATATAGTGTGCTACATTTATATATTATTATCTACCACTATTTTTTTAAGCTTCTATAACTTCCGAGCCGCTTATTAATTATAATATACTTAGATTATACAGATATTTACTTTTTCCTTGAGCTGTTTTAGTTTATATTTTTTATTTTTAGCGTTAATTCCATCCACTAATAAATTCGTTTCATTTAAATCATTCGTTTTCTCCAATATTCCTATAGTTATAAATTATTATGCGAAATCAAAAATAGTACATCGATATAGTTATTACCATAATGAACATAAATTAATAATTTTAATTGTTAACTAATTTCTAATTTACTTATTTATTAAACGTTATAGAAATATAATAGTATGTTACAATCATTTTTCAATTACCATGTTGTCGATTCAATTCGATTTCTTTTACAACTATATAAAGAAACTGGTCAAAACATGGATCAATTTCTGGTAACTCGACTTTATTAGTATTATAGTTTAGTGGTGAATATGGAGATTCAATCATTTTCATCGGTACATAATAAAAATTGAGCAATTTCAAGAGTTTGCTATGATTTTTTCGATTCCAAATTAAATGTTTGCTAAAATAATCCAGTAAAATTTTAAAAATAAAGATTTTTACAAAATGAATAATATTTTACGGTTTTTTTTTTATTTGTTTTTTTAGAATGGGTTTAGCTGCATTAACCACATTCGATAATACGGCAATATCAGAACTTGATGAGTGTATTTTGTCAACTTTAGAAAACAGGAGTCGTCTTTTTGTACTTGTATTTTGAAGTGTTTTTGTACTGATATCGATATCACTGTTTTGATCAGCAAATAAATTAATACCTAGTGTGTTTTGTGTTAAATTAACCGTCAAATCTACAAAAATAAAATAAATAATAACACATAAATTAATAGATACGCAAAAATGCATATTTTTATAATCCTTGCTGAATAGCTAATAATTATATTACTTTATATATTATTAAATATACCAATATACTAACTACTAATTACTATAATATACTATATTATATTGTATAGTGAGTATATAAAAATATAAAATCAATAAATGTCTATGAATACCGGGTAATTTATTAACATCTAAATGTAGATCTTGTTGAAGTAAACTCGTATTATCAAATCGGAATAGCATATTGGCTTGAGCTACTGTCGTAGGATATCCATCCAGAACATACCCACGTTTAAAAAACATTATTTTTTCAACCAATAATCTATAAAAAGAAGAACATACTTGTACAAAGAAAATATAAAAATAAATAATAGAATATAGTTGCATAAGTATGTATTAACATGCTACTTATCTTAATAATTTATATCTTATTAATATTACTCTTAATATATATTTAAGAAAAATGTGAAAAAACCGTACGGAATTAAATGAATATCTTCCAATATATCATTATTGGCATCCATAGATGAATATAACATTGATAGCTTTTTATTTAATTCTAATATTTTATCTGTTATAATCGAATTAATTCCAGTTTTTTCATTAGCATCATCTAATTCATCTACTGAATCGTCGATTTTTTTACTTTTGTAGTACAGTGAACTTATTTCTTCTCTCTTCACAAAATATGTTTACACCAGGTGTAATATTTACATTTTTTATTAAAAATAAATAATTGTAAACTTACGATTCCATTGATATAGTCTTGAGTTATCTTTTTGGGTTCCAGGTAGATTAAATCATAAAACTGGGCAAGTTGAAGTGCAAGTTTGGTCTTACCAGAAGCCGGTGGACCAAGTATAATTAACTTAATACTCTATACAAAAAAAAATTTAAAAAAATACCTACATATTTATCTCTACTCTATACTACAAAATATGCATTCAAAATAATGTTATTATTTTATTTTATTTTTTTAATGCACTTTTATATTATGGGCTCTTTTGTATGTTTCAACTAAATGTTTCATTGAATTCAACATTGGTGATTTATTGTTGTACCATTCGAAGTTAGGCCATAATCGATTGATACTGGAATTAACTTTAATATCGACGGATATAATTTGTTTATGGATACCCTAAAATAATTTCAAAATATAACTTTTGTGCAACTACCTACTTAATTTTACAATTAAAATTGTTTACTCACCTTGAGTTCATATTTATTCGTGAATGTACTTAATGACACAACTGTCGGAATAACTACGTCGCATGACTTAGCAAGAGCCTGAGCAAATATTATTCAAATTCAAACTCATGAATTTTTTTATCATACCTGAATGGCTGAGTCTATAATTGGATAAGAACTTACAGTGATGATTTGTTTTAATGTATTTATTGGGCTTTCAACAGCAAAAATATAATTATACTCTAGCATCTCATCTTCGGATATTATTTTATGTACGAGTCTAACAATATTAACATACAATATTATTTCAGTACCTAATTCACAGTAATTAGATTTTTTATAAATAGGAATCTTAAGTCTTAACCTAGCCAAGTCTTCTACGTGTATTACAGGTACGTGGTTTTGACTATTTGGTATTGGAAATAAATCGGTAGTTTTGCAAGCCGAATCAAACGCGAATTGTAACAAGTCTTGTTCGAATCCATACGTAAGACCAGCCCAAATTACTATTGTCTTTAACTGTTCTTTTAACTAATAACATAAAATAAATAAATGTATTAGTTCAATGACATAACAAGCTCAGTGCCTATTATATTTTATCAATGCAAAATTAAATATTTACTCCTCGTGTTTCATTTACAGCTAACACTTCAAGTTCAAATTCATAATGTTCCGCATATTCCGGATCTGGAACTCTATTATTCGCGTCATTCTCACTCACATAACGCTTTTTTAATAAATAGTTTGATATGTTATAAATATTATTAATATTTATTTCATTTGTAATAAATTTATAATTCACTTACTTTTTTATTAACACCTGCCCAAGTCATTACGGTCGATATTATCACTATCTTCTTTTTGTTTTTCGATCCATGGATTTTTTCCATACCTTTTAAGTTGAAGATTTCTTTTTTTAATGCTCTAAATATTTCTTTTCCTTTAGATAATTCCGCAATATCTCTTGATATGTCAATTACAATGATACCACAGGTTTTTAATAACTTCATAAGATCAGAACTATTTACTGTATTTACAACTTCATTCTAATTTTAATACAAATATTTATCAATAATAATTATAAATATTCTCAAAACCTATTTAATTAGGTAGACTACTTTTATTACTCATTAAATATTATACTATTGAGTATAGACCATAGTCTATTATTACTTTCAAGTTTAGCGATTCATCATCTACTGTTTCGATGAATATTTCATATGGAACTTCTGTGACTATATCATCATTGCTTAATTTATCTAATTGTTCAAACGATACATCTTCTAAAGTTTTATTAAACACACGGTAGTTATACATTATCATTTCTAATCGTTTTTTCGGTTCTATATTTAATAATCTAAAACCGTTTATTTTACTATTTAAATTTAAAATATCAATGTAATAAAAATAATATGTACCTAATTAAATTATACCATAAGGTAATATATTAAAATTCACCTAAAAAATTCTATGCCTGTTAACCTATCAATGATATCATCAACAACTAATTTATCATTTTCTTCCATTTGTAATTCATTTATAATAGTAGACTGTTGTGACCCTATGACATCAGATTCCAATTCTTGAGATATTAAATGATTTTCATCATTCGAACCGGATAAAAGAAAATGTGTTGTAGGTATCCGAGTATTTTTAGCCAATTTTGACGATAAAAACTAAAGATTTAATATAATTATTATTATTGATATTTTTTATTATACTGACTTTAAACATTACATATTTTATTAATTATAATATAATAGCAAGTCTACATTTTGTTTTAAATTGGTACCTTTATGAAATATTTTATATTAAACGAGTTCCCTGGACTTATAAAAATACGATTAAAATTATAAGACCATTCAGGTATCTTCATACGGTTGATGTATTTGTTAACATTGTTTTTGAGTTCAATTTCATCAAAAATTAACCTAGACAGATCAGATAAAGGCGAAGTAAAAATACTCATGTTGTAGTTAACCAAATATCAAGTACAACAGTAAATAAAAATATACAAATATAAATTATTACAAAAAGTAATAACTAATAAGATTAATATAAATTATTTTTACAGCAATAAATTATATATTGGTCGTTATGGTTACTAACTCTAAAATTGTATTATCTACCACCTACTTAAAATTTTAAAATTCTAAAGAGTTTTATTTTATTAAAGGTAGGTAAGTAGTTTAATACAATTTAGTTATAATAATTAATTTATAAACAATTTATTATAAATGCATGTATTTGCAAGACTAGACATTTTAGTGAAAACAATTTTATATAAGAACTGATTACTATCCATAATGCAATAAGAATGTTAATAAAAAATTTAGAATACCTACTTATATATTTTTTTAAATTTGAATTTTACAAGATCAATTTGATTTCTGTAATAGGTACCTAATCTATACCTAACCAATTATAAATTATAATATTCTAAGTATTTCTGAAAATTTAAATTATTTACTAATTTTAGAAATAAGTGGTACCTACCTAAGCTCATAAAATAAAATAAATATTCTAAGTCTTTAAGCACAATTAAAAAAAATAATAATATTTATTTTTAAACTATATTTAATGTAAAAGTAGGATATTTTAAGTCATAAACTAAAGTTTAATAATAAGAATCAGGTTTCTTAGTACATAAAACTGTTTAAAATTGTAGGTATCAAATATTACAGATATCCAGATGATATACAAGTAAACATCATAATTAATTAAAATTATTTACTAATATAATTTACACATAATTCAATATAAAATATCTTTAGATCACAATACACAACAATATTAACAATTAATTATTATAAATAAAAGTTTTAGAAATTATCCATTTACATTACTGGAAGAATATAAAATATAATTAATATAAGTTAGGATTTATCATATTTTAAAATAAAATATCATAGTTGATTTGTATTTTTTAAGGTTAATATTTTGTTCAGTCCATTTACCTATTTATAAGGATCGTATAATTAGCCACATTTAATATTTCAACTTATTAAAATTGGTTTCTTAATCTGAAATAAAAGTAAAATAGATTTTTTAAAACATGAAATTAAATTAATCAATTTTTTATAAGATCCATCCGAGATATTATAATTTAATATATGATATAATATAATAAATTATTAAGTACCTTAATTAGATTTGATTAGATTCTTGTTGAAACATACTCTTCATATCCATAGGATTATAACCAATCATGGTTTTTATATCACCAGCAAATTTATAAACATGTTTTCCCTTGGCTCGTTCTATAATGCCTTTTCCATAATGGTATCTTAATGCTGCAGCCATTTTATTGTAGTTCATTCTCCAATTGTTTTTAACCAAACCCCACATGATACCAATAGTATTTGGTTTTATTATTTTGAATGTTCCTTCATTATTGACCCATTCAATCACACTTTGATATTCACTATTTGTTAATAAATTTAGTAAAAATTGCCAAATTTCTATACCATGATTAAAATCTGAATTTAAATATATTTTATTTTTATAGTTGAGAATTACACATATATCGATACATTCTTCATTATTTTGTTTAGTATATACTTTGTGCATAGTTTTGAGCAGACAAACGTGTGTCCAAAAATCATCATTTGATGACTTGTTCTCCAAACCAGCAATTTTCCAACAAAAATTGTCTGATGTTAACTGTTTCCCATTTATTGTTAATTCAGTAATATTTAAATTAGTTAAGTTGTATTCATTTTTAGCCCATTTCATCCAAGAATGGACTTGAACCTAGATAAAATATAACATGAAGAAAATCTTTTATTCTTATAAACCTACAACTGTACTATTTTACAATATAATATACATTTTAGACATATAAAAATTACAGTAATTACATGAGATCTCAGTGATCTCACACTCTCAGTGCAATTCAACACTTGGTATATCTACATTTAGGTACTATACATATAAAAGTATGGAAAATTTTAATAACAAGAGTGTTAACATAATTAATTATTTTGTCTAAATTAATATGTCTAAAAATTAGTTTATTTATTAAATTAAAATTAAAATTATCTTCTAAAAACCATTAATTGAAACCATGTGTCAATATAATACTATATTCTATATATAAACGTATTATGTATTAAGACTATTTCAGTGTATTTAAATAATAAGATTATAATATTATAATAATATATTGAAAGTTAACTTGTATTATATTATAGAAGATTATCCTTTTATTCGCCAGTTTAGTAATAATATTATCATTCTCTAAATATAAATATATATATTATGCTATGTTTATTTTGAATGAGTCAGTCAAGTATATATACTGGTGTAACTTTAAAATTCAAATCCGGGAATGAAATTTTCAACGGTCTCCCTCATCCAGGCATTATATAAGGGGGATCTGATGGAGTGGAGAAGAGTGCATTCATCTTGCTAAAATTATTTTATACATTTAAAAAAAAATATTGTTGCATGTTCTATTAATTCAAAATCAATAATTATTTTGAACTATCAAAATATAGATAAATAATTTACTGTTAATTACTTAAAAAAAAAAAACATTGTATTAGGTACTTCATGCTCCTTAAGCAAATGGGCCCATACCCTATGAACCCTCTTAGTTATATCACTGAGTATATTATATAATAAATATATTGTATAACATTATGATTTATTAATTAGGTATGTACCTACTTGATCCCATTTACATGGATCTTCAGATATTTCTAATCTTTTGTAAAATTGTTGTTCAACAATCCAACGATAACCATTTTTATCAAACACTTTGCAATTTTCATTATCAAATGTTCCAGCATTTGTTTTCTTACCAATCACAAAAACGGTTTCATACCACTCTGCAGACTCCATTTATGGATTTGAACGATTTGTTCTAAAATATTTTTATAATAAAAATATCTCTTATTTAAAACATAATAAATGCACATATATAATACTACTAATCATAGACCTATAAACTAGATAAATCCATAGGTCTATAGGTAGACAAGTAAGCACACCCACCTTAATCATGAAAGTATATATTATGTTGTAATCCAAAGAAACATGATAAATAAAAACTGGCCAGATGAAATTTTTTGTATAACATTTAGACACCCAATTTGTTTTGTTAATGGATAGAATATAATATCACAGATACCTATAATAGCTGATGTTTCATTTATACTCAATTTGTGCTTATTGATGAACTGACTTGTTCTGTACATTTGATCTTTAAGTTATAAATAATAATATTTAAATAATATATGGAATTATTAAAGACAGACTTCTATACAGTTACTTACAAGCATTAAAGTATTTCAGTATACACAATAGACAGTATAAATAAATAAAATAAAATACGAAAAAAAAAAATAGTTACATTTTAGTTTGAAGGTTTATGCCCTATGCCCCTATGGTGTTATATTATTAATTAATAATTTTATAATATATTAAATATTTATTAAATAATTAATAACTTATTTTTTTGTTTACAACTATCCAACTATCTGGTGATACCACAGTCTGATAAGTGATAACATGAATAACAATAGATTTCATTTGGTTATCGTATTCGTTAAATGTTTTATTGTTTGTTTAACATTTTTTTCATGATTGCGTGATATTTTTGAAAAAAACATACTACAGTTGTAGTAGTAGTAATAATAGTGTGTAAATATATAATCATTTTTAGGAGACTTGAATTTTATTCTGAATATTCTGAATAATATAAGCAAATTATATCGATTTTTCGGGCTTACAAGGTCAGTTCAAAGAAGTGTGTGCATGTCTATGTTAAGTGCTTGTCAAACACTTTAACACCACTTGAACAATGTCATCAAAACCAATTTTGTTAAAGGTTTTTTTATTTCTGTGATTTGTTAACTGTAAAGTATTTTTGTGATTTTCTTATTTCAGGAGAAACCATTTGTCGACATGGAAGAAATCAATATACAAATTGAACCATGTAAAACTTATTCTCGAACTTATTTTAGTGACGGATGTGTTGAAACTACAGGAACTGACGAAACAGATTTGCTGAGAGGAGAATCAAAAACTATTTCAAATGAATCTGTTAGTACTTTAGTTTTACTGATGTTTATATGGTATTTAATATTTATGTATAATTTTGAAAATTGAAATCATAGACTAATGATTGGCGGTCATGGTTACTTAAACAATCAGCAGTAATTGGTTCTAGTGCATTGAATAAAGTCGATTACCTTGGTGAATCTTTGGCCAATTTTTTTGGTATCACTACGCCAAAATATCAATTTGAAATAAATTATCACAACAACATAATGCAAGAAGTAAGTACTATCAGTTAAAAAAAAATTAACTTTATTACTATATTTCACAGAAATGTTATTATTTATGTTAGGTTAAAACAAGTTAGTATGTAGTACAAATAGGTTCAAAAGTCTTAGTCTCCTAAAACCCTTTTCTTATTTTTACATTTCATTTAAATCTCATAAAAAATGTAAGCTAAGTGGTTTTAGTATAAATTAAATAACAATTCCATTGATGCTGTTATGCACAGAAATCTTATCTCAGTTTACCCTTATATGAGACAATTTATACAGAATATATTTAAAAATCTATTAAATATGAATTATTGTTTATAATTTGACATACATAAGTCAAGTATAATAATTTTTTATTGAAAATTTATAATTCATCATTCATAGAATTAATGATTTTCAAATAAACTAAACTAAATTTATAAGTAACATCATTACTCAACAATTACAATCATAAAGCAAAAAATAATTTTGAACTGATTTATAACATATTTAAAAAAATAATATATAGTTTTATCATAAAATCTATAAATATCTATTGAAAAATTCAGTTTATTTTAGATAAATCTAAATTTTATAAATTAATTCATTAATTCAGAATATCTTATAAATTTCTCACAGTTAGAAATAATTATATTTTATTAAAACTAGAAAAATAATTACTGTGCAAATGAAGTGTTGGTAATTGTAATTAAATAAATTATAACTCGTAAAAAAAGGAAGTTATTAATAATTAATTAATATAAAGTCATGAAATTTACAGAGTTTTATAAGAATACTCAATATCCAAATATTATTTCAACTAATGGTCAAGCAAAAGATTATTAAGTTTTATGTGATTAAAAAAAAAATGTTTATTATTATTTTTTTACTATTAATGATGCATTGTGAGTTGTGACAACTCGAAAACTAATTAATTATATCATACAAATTATATAACAAAACCAGTTTTCAATATGATAACAATAATAACTTATATGTATAATAATTTCAAACTTAGTATTGAGGATGGAAAAGAGATTGAGAGAATTATTAAAATATTTGTGTGTAAAGGACAACCAAATAGGATATGTTGAAGGTCACAAATACTTTTGGTGAAATGTAGTGTACAGAGAAAGAAATCATTCAGCCTAAAATCATAGGCATGATTGGGTAATAGTGAATGGGCCAAGCAAATTCAATTAATTTAAATGATAGAAAATCTAAGTAAATTTAAGTTATCAAACTTGTTTTTAATTCTAAATATTAGGAACAATGTCTTTGAATTTGGGTGTAAAGTTAGCTGACAAGTTTGTCCAGTGATTAAACCAAAGATTAATTAAAATTAACTTAAAATTGGGGTAAAATCAGTCTAAGATAATTGAGTAAATTAAGGTAAAATTTAGTTCATTAATTGTATACCTAAGCTATTGACAATTATATTGCCGTGTATTCTAATGCTACTAGAAACCAGTAAGTTAAATTGAGTGATTTGATTGATTGAGATAATTATTTATAATTGATTTGATTTGAAAAATAAAAAAACTTTCATATGGAACTAAAATGATTCAATTCTAATTGCTGTAAACACAGCATAGAATATGAGACATTAGTTGTATATTCTGGGCAAGCTTTAAGATAACATAACACTCTGTGATAAAGGGAGAAGATAACTTTACTGTTATATCTATTATGTACATATCTTTTATCATTTAAATTAATTTGTATCTTTGTAAAAAAAGCTCAGCCCGTAAAATATAAAATAAATAAATAAGGAGAGCAGATTATTTCAAAGAAATGATAAGTCAAAAATGTAGAATGAATACCCAACTGAATGAGATGAGACAAAGCTAGGATGAGACATTGTTTTAAGTTGAATCAACTAATTTACATAGTTATTTATAAGGATAAAAATAATGTATAGTATAATTTTAATGTGTGTGATTTATTACTGGTATATTTATTATTGAATAAGATGAGTAATAGTTATTAAATTAATACATAAATTTATATAATTTTTTTTTTAAGGTGAATGCAGAAAAAATCACCAATGAAGAAAACATGAAAGGATGGACTCAACAACCTCAAAAATGTACTATAACAACAGAACCATGTTAAGTTTCATTCAGTTCCCTTACTTATTTGTTTTTTAAAAAAATACTAATAATTTATATAATTATAAATAATAATATATCATTTTCTATCTAAAATAATATTTTGAATTTTTTACATAAAATGTGGTTTGTAGAATTTACATTACTCTATAATTAAATATATAAGTATTTTCTAGAGCATTCTTAATTTGCACAGAGAACGATATTTATTATGTTAATATATCTGTTTAATGTAATAAACTCCACTTAAGCTAACTTCTTATTACAAATAAATGATTGTCAATTAAACAATAAGTATTCAAACCCTTATTTTCATTGTGAAAATCAAAAAAATATATAAGCTCAAAAAGTATTAACAACATTAAAAGTTTTAAGAATAAATGCATTTATTTAAGATATTTTAATCAAATAGATTTGTAATAAAAAATTATTGGTATTTTTTTAAAATGTTATAAAATTGATTACCATTTACATTATAACGGTGTTTTACTAATTATTATCTTTTTAAAATATTTATTTAAGAATATAATTCTTTGAATTATTAAACTATTATTTTTGTAATTAAAAATTATAAGTATTTTTATTGGTTAGTGAAGCTCGGAAGTTAATGACTTATTCATTTTAATATGTATTTGTTTATTTCATAACTTTCTTAACTTAAAATGTATTTCAATAACAAAGAAATCTAAATTACAAATTTTATTTCATGTTTATTTACATTTTAAGGTAATTTATGTAGTTTTATATTGTTTTTAACCAATTTGCACAACTTAATTCATGACTTTTTTTTTATTTATGATACACGTTGAACTTTATAATAAATTAAAATACGTTTAAGCATTTAAAAAACAAATAATTATAATTACATTTTAAAAATATTAATTTGATAAATTAAATATTTTATTAAAAACAATTAATTAAGAAAAAGTATTATTTATCTTAGTATTTATATGGCTTTTAAATGTATTACATGTATATATTATAAGCTTTAAGTCATCAACTTCTGAGTCCTATTGGATTACCATTTAACTTTTGATATTTTATGAATTAATTTTGGAATATTTTATTATATTGTTATAAAATAAAGATAAATATATTAATATTTTTATTATAATATTATATATATTATTATTTTATATTAATAAACATTTTTACTATATTATGTGAATGATTAATTAATTTATATTTTTTATATGTAAATTTGTGTACTGTTTTATGAATGGTAAATTTGACAGTAGCATTTTTCCAAAATGATCTTAAAACTAATCACCTATTGTGTAAAATAAATAAAACCGTATCTTTAATAGCACACAAATACATGTTACACGTAAAAAAATATTTTAAAACTCCAATGTTGGTAAAGGGTTAAGGATACATATGTCACCTGGGTTTTTATTCATCATTTAAAATACAACAGTTAATATATTGTTTACAAGTGAATAATATTTTTAGAATTATTAAATTACTGTAATTTTAAACTAATTTTATCAAATAAAAAAGCATAAATGTACTCATCAAAATGTATTTCTCTTTCATTTTCATAATAAGTGTTTTTATATACAATAATTAAGAACAATTTTTTTCAATTACGTAAGTATTTTTATGATATTGGAAATAACCTGTGTAATATCCTTTTAATGTAAATTTGATTTTTTAGAGATGAAATATATATTACACAAAACAAACCGAAAAAAAATATAAAAATGTGTTACGAAAAATCGAAATGTGATTAACTGACAGGAACTTGGATGGTTAACTAGCATCTAGTTTTAAAAATTGTATGATTATTAATTATCTGTAAGAATCAAATCAAAAGTTCAATAACTTAAAATGGTAAAGATTCGAAATATTTTTTTTTTATATTAAAACTGTGGTAGGCCGCATAGGTAAAATATCATATGATTAGATCAGTGGGTCTCAACCTTTTTATTACTACGACCCAAATTTCCCCCAAAAAATCTTTTACGACTCACATGGGCCACTTGGTTTCACTGTTCAAAAAGCAATTAAATAAAATAAAAAAAATTGTCAAGTTTTAAATTTAAAAAATATATAATATAATATAATTTTAATTTTTTTAACAAAATTTGTTTATTAGGTACTTTTAATAGGTTTAAATTATTATTTTTTTTATTATTGTATAGGTTTATAATCAATATATTTTTACAAATGTACTTTTAATAATAGCAATATTATACCATAATAATATATTTAATATTAATTTAACATACATTTCTTGGAATCTGTATAATTCAAAAAAATTGTTCGCGACTCACCAAAAATTGACTGACGACCCACCAGTGAGTCACAACCCACAGTTTGAGAAACGCTGGATTAGATGATTGATTATGATTGCCGTTTAGTATTAACATAATATGCAAATGGTTATGGGCTATATTTTATGTGGGCTGTATCGTTGCATAATGCTCCGATAGAACGGTTACCAACTGTTTAGTGCAAGAGTGTAAAACTGTTAATTCTAAATGTCTATTCATGATATTATAAGTAGACATATTTATGTACATGTGACTTCTTACGTTTATTAATAATTTGGTCATTTTTCATTTGATTGACATTGAACAATGAATAATATTCATATTTTAATTTTACTTTAAAAATAATTCATATTATATAATATTAACTAATAAGTAAGCTTTTTAAATAAATTTTTACCAGCCTACTAAACATAAAATACATTTTTAGGGAAAACATCACTATAATATGATAAGCCTATGTATTGAATTACATATTTTAGTTGAACTCGTGCAATAGATCAAGTCATCACCAATATTCTTAAAGAAGGTGTTATAAATAAAATTAATTTTAAATTCTAATGGTAAAAAGAAAATAATATATTAATTCAATATAGATAATATGGATTTATTAACAAGTCATTAATATCTACTTATCACATACATTACAAAGATGTTCTTTAAAGATTGTGTATAAACAAATTATCAATAATAGTTCAAATAATAACTAACATTAACAAACTTTTCATCTAAAAAAAAAAAAAAAATCAATATAAGTTAAAAATAAGACAGGAAATAAGTATTTTTTAATATTATAATATTTATATCGTCACAACTCATAACTGTAATACATATTTGCCAGTTAATTCATTTATCAGTTTGACTTCATATTAATATCAAGTAAATTAATAAATTTAATAATGTATTAATCCTTATTTATTAAAGATGGACAAATGAAAGACGTGAAAATATTAATACAAACTTTATTTATAATCTGTTTTAAAATATTAAGAATAAGGCATTTTTCATCATTTTAACAACTTAATAATTCAAAAAATAAATAAATAACATTAATTAAATTTCTTTAATATCTAATTAAAATAAACAAAAACAATTCATAATATAAATAGTCATATTTAAAAAAAGTTAAGAATAATTTACTGTAGATATAATACAATTAACATTAATTTTATAAACATAGCAATTTAATATGACATTTCAATAAAAAAAATTTACATTTTTCAATAGCCAAAAACAAATTTAAAACAATAAATAATAAAATAATATTCATCTTATTACTTTTCTTATAGATTTAATTTGTTTTACATAATGTTTTTTATATTAATAAATGAGCAATTTTATTTTTTCTTCATAAAATATTATTTGGTTTTATTAAAACAATTTATCCACTAACTTCTTATTATTTGCATTAAGTAATTGTATTGAATCTTGTTTTTGATAACATTTTTTGTTTTACCAAGTTTTACAAAATTGATCAGCTTTCAGTACGCTTAATATAATCCATTATTTGTTTGCTTATTATATCAGTAGCTTTTTGTGATTGTGGTATTAGGAATCTAAATACAATAAAATCAACAAAATGTAATACATAACTATAACATGATCCAAAATATGAGTAATAGTAGTAATACTGTAATAGAAGTAACATTAAATTATTAAATTTTTTAATTTCATTAACTTTTTTTAAGTATTAAAAAAAAAAAAAAAATTGAAAGCTTTAATTCATAGAAATAATTTTAAATTTTAGATTTCTTAGTTACCAAACATAACTTTATAAAATCAATTTAGATATAAATGGTTTAATGTACACCAAAATTCTTGAATCAAATTAAAATAATTGGTACTTGTTAAACATCACAGATTATTATAAATACTACAAACTGAAACTAATATTAGATTAACCTACACATTTATAATCAATTTCAATACTATTTTTGCTAAATATTTATCAATAACAGTTCTGCATTCCATTGCTACTTCATTGATATTAACTGTTATATTAGATTATTAGAATACATATTATAAATTATTTATTTAGTCATGATTTAACTTTTATATATAAAAAAAAAATAACTTTCTTTTTTTTGTTCTTATTATTTAGAAAAAAAATATAAATTCATCTGAACATTTTTTTTTCCTTGATTAAAAACTATTTATTATTAATAAAATATTTCATAGGATATCAAACAAAATTTATTTAATTTTTTAAGTTTACGAGTAACATGCAAAAATAAAATTAGTGATATTAGAGCTTTCACTTATGAAAATTATTAATTTTATGGAAATTATGTAGCTCCATTATAAATATTAATTATTAAAAAAATGTAACTATTACAAGTTATAGGTATAATGAATATTACAAAATACTACTAGAGGTCCTTCAATTTAATTTAATATATTATGTTTATGTATAATATATAGGTATGACATGTTTTAAACTAGGCACCGGCAACCTCCATAGAACTTTGTTCTGCGGCCCTCTAATATATAATAGTATAATACCATTTGTTTAAAATTTAAATTTTTTATCTTTAACTGTAATTAATAAAATCGAATTATGATTATTAGACTTTTACAAATATAAGCTATGAGTTTATCTCGCATTTTTCTTACAAAATATTATCTTTTATGACTATAATATACGCAGTATATTAAATACGATTAAATTATGACAAATACTTATCTGGTTATGATTTTAGTGCAGTTCATTTTAAAATATGCCAATGTACAGACATCATATAACAATTATGAAATTTAAATTAAAACTGCTCGAAGTGTTTTATAATTATCAATACAGTGTCAAAAAAATGTAAAATTTTTGATGACCCTGGTATATTCAACAAATCATGAATGGATTTATATTTTTTTATCGGAAATAAAGGTAAACTGTTTTGTTTATTTAGCCAAATTATTGTCAGATATAATATTATTCAAAGTAAAATTAAAATTATTACACAAACATATTAATGAACAGTGTTTGAATCATTATGTATGTACTAAAATTGTAATCAAATTATCCAAATCAACTTCATATTGGTAGTATAAATAAATTCATTTTTGAAATTTACAAAATAGATTTTTACTACATCTTCCAATTCTTCTATATAAGAGAAAAAAATTAATTTGTTTCAAAAATTCTTTTCTGTTGACATTGTCAATGTTAAATCTAATTTACAGATAGAAGTCATAGAATTACAAAACATCAATGTTTTTAAAACTGCTTTTATAGAAAGTAATGAACTAAAAATATTTGATTTCAAGTCTTTTTATTAAAAGTATTAAAAGTTTTACCAAAAAAACAATTACTGCTTTTAGTAGCACTTATCTTTGTGAGCAGATATTTACAATAATTAAATATTGAAAAAATCAATATTGTTCACAGTTGAATGTAGTTTTGAAAATATCGACATTCAATATGAAAGTGGATATAAAAAAAATTAACGGGAACAATTCAACTTCAAAAATCATACTAGAAACTAAATATTTATATTTTTTTGCACTTAAGAAATAATTAATTATCTTTTTTTTTAAATTTTTAAATTTTCTCTTCTAATGTATTTTATCTAAATTTAGTTAATAAGAACAACCTCAAAATGAGAAACTCAATATATCCATTAATATATTAGTATTATATTTTAAAATTACATTTTAATAACGTTTATTTTAATGTTGTATGTAGCCCTCAATGAAAAGCTGATAACAAATATGGCTCACTTGAGTAAAAAGATTGCCAACCCCTGTTCTGAACCATTAAAAATAATACAAACATATACTGTTATACCATAAATCATTGTATAACATACACTATAATAAAACATTAATCTTTTAAATATTTAAATATGTTTATCAAGTATTAACTAAATTATTACTACTATTACTTTAGATATAACTCAATAAATAAAATATTAATAATAACCTGTCTATATCTTTTTCTGATTCAGAATATTCAAAAATAATCAAATCTGGTCGTTTTTTGCGACATTTAATGTTCAAAATAGTTCCTAGTGAATGATTTACCAATGAACAAATTTTATTAGAATCTTTTGTGTCTACTTCAACTATTATTAGGTTATTTTTTGTCAGCACCAATTTCCTAGTATAAAAAATATATAAACACCATATTAGATAATTGTTTTATTCATCAAAGAATTAATTATAAGATTTATAAGTATATTACCCTGGAATTAATGATCCATCATTTCTGATATGTTGACAATCAAATGATGCAATTACATTGAATTTATTTAATAGCATCGATAAACTATTACAATGAGCTGCATCATCTAGTTCATCTAATTAAAATTGAAACTTTAGGTTTATTGATAACAAAATTATAATTACTTTTTTAAATACCTTCTGAATCTTGATTATTGTCATCTTCATCTATTGCAAAAACTGGTGCCATATTTCTATATCTTTTGTTACCACCATTTGTTTTTTCATTTTTTGTACTATTATTATTACTTGATAAAAAGTCCATTAATTTACCTTTGACTTCAAACGATTTGGATCTCATTGCCACACTATAACATTCATATATTTAATTGCATTTTTGAAAAATAAAGAAATATTTTAAACAATCTTTACCCAAGTTTAGAAAACAATTCATTAGTTGAATTTGTTTGAGTCAATCGTTCTCTATTTTGATTTAGACTACTTAAACACTGGGAACATCGATTACGATCATGATCACTCAAGCCATCAATATTGTTTTTTTCAAAATATTCATGAAGTGCTATTAGAATAGAGATTATAAATAAAATAACAATCTTAACAAATTTTAAGAAAAAAAATACAAACCTTGATAACCACCATTAAGCATAGAAACATAGAGAGAATGTTTTTGTAGAAACGCAGAAACAACCATGTGAGTATTTTGGTTAGCATCTAAACCACTACCACAACCTGAGAAACACCAATGTTCTCCTCCTCCTGAACGGCCCTCAACAAAACTCTGCTTCTGACATGATAATAGACCTTCTACAGCAGTCCAAAAAGAAACAGGATCTTCCAAAAGCTTTAAAAACAAAATTAATATTAAATCTTATTATTTATAAAATCTTGTTACAAAAAACAAAAAAGACCTCTTTTTACAAGAAAAAAAAATAACAAAATATTCTATACAATAACCAGATTTGTTTGTTATGTATGAATATAGTTTTTATGGTTAATAAATTTATCTGGGTTTTTGCTATGAATAATTAATTTCATTTTAATGAATTAAACAATTAAATAAATATAAGTATATACATAAATTCAATAACATGGTTAATGTAAAATATAGTTTTATTTTATTTAAAATAACATTATTAATTTTTTCATGAAAAAAATAAATGATAATTATGAAGAAGAAACGTGAGTTTATGTTAGAAAAAAATTCCTTATATTTTAATCTACTGCATATAGAAGATAGAAAATAGACAAATCAATAGTGTTGATACATTTTCAACATCTTTCATAGAATTAAAAATATTAAATAAGTATAATTTTCAATAAAATGTTAAGTTTTAAAAAAATTACTTATTTAGGTTTTACTAAGACTTATGGTAAAAAAAAAAAAATAATGGTACATACTAAAGTACTGTCCAGAGGAAAGGCAATAGGCAAATGTCCAGCATTGTATTGTTCTGCGGGTCGGCAATCCATGACAAAAAATTTTAAGCTGTTAGTCACTGTTTTACTTGTATGTGACACTAATTCAGTTACACTAATTGGAAGGCATAACATTTGTGAAATTCCTTTATCTGGTTGCTTTGGGTCAAAAATATATCTTGCAATATCCTGAAAATAATTTAAAATACTAACTATTGTATTTAACAGATATTTAATTACATACTTTTATAAAAGATGATGGTGTTAGTTTATCATAGTATTCTGCCAAAGACCAGAAATCGTTTATATCATCTATGGCTAATTGTGATGGTAAATTCGCAAGAATTTCAATCAATTGTGTTTTAGGTTGGTGTTTTAATGAAAATATATGATCCCTAATACAAGATTTAAAATATTAGACTTAGATAAATATTTCTTATAAAAAATGTACCTTGCATTGATGATAAATACTAAAGCCAAAAAAAATATAAAAAATTTGTCTTTTTTTGCTAAGTATAAATCCCAAATATTTAAAATTACTTCTAAAGAACATGTTTCTGAAAATAAAGTTTGTATCTAAATAAAAAAAAACAATTAAAATTAGTAATTAATGAAAACTTTTTAAAGATTAATAAATTAATAAATACCCATGATTCGCTATAAAGTTCTGGCCCTAATTTTAGAGAATCTAATAAATTACACAACTCTGGATCATGATATAATAACAATATCCGTAATAAATGATAACAGTCTTGGTGTTTAGCTAAGTACTCTTCATCAATCGCACGGAACATAGTATATGAATCAATTCGAGGTAGTTTTAATGATATAATTGGACGAATTATTGATGACCATCTTTTACTTATATCATATGTGTCTGTATTATATATTTTGCACATTGTCACCAATATAGCTTCAGCATCTGACAAACAGTTTAATTTTTCTTCTTCATCTTCAATTTCTAAAGAAGCTAAACAAATTTAAAAATATATATAAATATTAAATTGTTTTTAATAGTTTAATGATATTTGTTTATTCACATACCAATTAACATTTGACAGTCTACCTCCAACTGTTCTATGTTCTTTATAATTGGTCTCTCATCTAACAAAGTTTGAATAGTATCATCATCACGAGTCAATAACTGACGCCACATCTGACCCCTACATTCATTGGCAATTACAGTAAAATTTCCAGATTCTTCACTAAGTGGAGACTCATCTTTCTCACAAAGTGCTTTTTCTAACGCTTTCATCCTACTCATAAATCATTATTATTAAATAATACTATAACATAAAATAATATGTTCTTACCATCCTTCATCTTCCTCTTCAGACATTTTAAATATTATTTATCTAGACTAATTTATTATGAAATAAATAAATTTTAGAAGAAAACACAGTCGTTACATTGTAAACATGCATTACTTTCTTTGTTAATGATTACATATGCATAACAGTTATACTTTAGCAGTAGAAATTAGTCATAAAACAATTTTACATTATCAATTCAGGTCTGATCTGAAAACGTTTAAAAGTAAATAAATAATTATAAATTATAATAAAACTTTGGTTAACAGAGGTACATCGTTTTCTGAAATTTATTATTATTTATTACAGATAAATAATGTTATCTAAAATTAATTTATCATTATTCTTTAAGCAAATGATAAGTCTTTTATCAGTTTTCGTTTAAAAATTAAAACGTAATAATTGTAAGTTGGTATTTATATTCAAATAGGATTATTGGGATAGTATATCTGTTATTTCTCTTACCTAATTATTATTTAGCTAATTAATACTAATATGTTAGCTTTAAAAATTAGAATTCACAATTTAGAATTGGTAAAAATTAATTATTATTTCTATTAAATAGTAAATACTAAATAAAAAATAAAAAATATTAATGTACTTTAAAAACGAACAACGTTTGTCTTCTTGTATATGTAATTGAGAATTCAAATATTTTTTCAAAATGAAAATCGGGGAAGAAAAATTTGCAATATGTAGGTAGGTATTGTTTGGAATTAACAAAAATAGTTATAAAATAAAATTTTATGACTTAGATTACGATGGTGTACGGAGGCCCTCAATTAGATAATGGATGTTGATCAGTAATCTAAAATGTAAAACTGAAGGTCAGTAATTTTAATGACACGATGACAATAACAGTTTAACTTACTGAACATTACTCAATAATAATTAGTACATACCTAATGGCAATCACTATTGATTATAAATAGGAACTAAAAATACTATATTATTTATAATCAATACTACATATTTTACTAACATATGATACGACCATATTATGTAAAATGTGCTTATACGAGCTATCCTTACAATTCACCAAAAACAGCTTAATGACTACCTAGTACCTACCTACTAATGAAGTAGATGGGTAGTTAAGTAGTAGACTTTACTGTCTATACTATATTAAATAGGTGACAAGTAGAAAATTTAGAGGCTATGTAATTATCAAAATTATTTATAACTTTATATTTTACAGGTAGGTACCTAAGTACTTCTACGCCATATTATATAGTATAATTATTACATAATATTTATTGGTTGTTTAAACACCGAAAAACAAAATAAATATTAACTACGTTTATATACTATAAGTATCTACTAGCTATACTAATTTCTACAAAACCTACTCCTTAAACCCCTATCTATTTAATAAATTAACAGTAGGTAATACTTAGATTATTTATTAATTATTAAAATTTTATTATTACAATATAAGTACTATATTTTTATTTATATTACAAGTTACAACAATTAAATAGCGATATCTTCCTAGCAAAATTGATAATTATAAAATACTAAAATATTATATGTAGTATTATGGTACTATAATAACCGTAGACGTATCTACAACGTGACGATAAGTCATAAGTCATAACTCGTAATTCATAAGCCGTATAAATAAACGATTGTCGATTAACATATAAGTATAGATATCTACATTTAATATAAAGTAGGCATAATAATATAACCTACATAATATGAAATATTTACATTTTACACAGCCACACAGGTAGGTACTTAGATTACAGGTAGTTGCTTCGTGCATCCAGACCACATCAACTTTGATATGATATTAAGTTAATAGGTGTATATTATTAAATCTTCTAAAATTCAAATAGAATAAACAATTTTTTTTATTTCTAATGGCTAAAATTAAAATCATAAACTTTCTACTTCATCGTTCATTTATTTATAATATATTTCATATTATTTATTTATTTTTTTTAAAACAAAGATAATATTTTTAATTTACTCTCTGACCTATGTGCCATAAATAAAACATACTCACACAAAGTCGTTCAAATGGATTTAGTGTATGAAATATTGGTTTGAATTTTATTAATTAAATCTTCAAAAATATTATTTTCTATAATTTTTATAATAAATAATTTGTTTTTAATTAAATTATTCAAGAACTCCATACAAAACAATTTAAACCAGTACGTTTCAAATACATCTGAAACTAAGAGATAAAATAAATAGTTTATAATAAATATCACTCATTAGTAACACTATTGATTATATATTATATAGTTTTACTCTGAATAATGTTCGAATTCGTAATTAATTTCATGAAAACTTTAAATCACGAATAATACATTTTATACAAATTTAATATTTTGAAAAAAAAATATTTTTTCTATTATATTAAATTAGAAGTTGTTCTTGTATTTTAAGGAAATTAAAGAAATCAGCCAGACAAAAATATTTATATCATAAAAATAAAATATTTTTAGTGCTTTGAAATTTAAATTGTATAAGACATTTTTTTTAATTCTATGCATGGTGAGATGATACTTAAGAAATCACAAATTTACATTTTTCTTATGTATAAAACTCAAGTTTACATAATATCATTATGTTATTGGCTGATCGAATCCTATTAATCACAAGATAGCCATCTAAAATAATTAATAAAACCAATTATTTTTGTTTTTTTACACATTTATTTGATAGTTCATAATTTGTATTGAATAGGTACATTTAATACAAAAAAAAAAAAAAAAACCTAAATTATATAATTGGAGTGTTCCAAGGGTTCCAGTGTACCTTACGAATAATTTGTTAAAGGGTACACTTTTTAACTACCATTAGAGGTAGAAAGACTGAGTCCTCTTACGACCCCCACTTTAACCCCAAGTAATTAGCCGAATTTTTCGGAATATCTACCCTTATGCTACTCTACAACTTTATACTACTCATACATGGTCACCTATTGGGGGAGAGAAGAAAGGGCATTTGCCTCTCATTGCAAACAAATTCTATGAACTTGATATTATCTAATTACGAAGACAAATTGTATTTTAAAATCACTACATATTAAGATATAAACTGACTAAATATATGTATAACAATACAAATATAATTTATTATTTTATTAATATTTATAATTCGCATAATAGCATATTTACACACACACATATATTATATATATATGAAAATAACATTAAATCTTTATTATCTTACATTTGAGAATTTTTTTATTTTATCCTTCTTTAAAATTTTATCTATAGGCACCCATATACTCATACAAACTAAATTGCTTATATTTTAAAATAATGAGTGTAAACATTTAAATAGATTACCTTGTAGGTATACATAATATAGTATTATAAGTATAGCCTCTGGTATGGGTATTAACACAGATTAAAATATATACTAGCGTATTATTTAATATAATGATAGTATTAAAAATAAATGTACTACTACTAAATAATATTTTAAATACTATGTTGTTTCGTTTTGAGCTATTTATAGATATTTAAAGTTTTCTACTTTTCTTAGTTTTTATTTAGTTTATTGTTAATTATAAGTACCTAAATAAAGCTTTAAAATTCTATACAATACACAAGACTTCTTTTATTCTTTATTTACATTATAAATACTATGTATACCGAAGTGGCACAATTATTAATATAGGTACATGTTAACTATAAAGGTGGGGTAAATTTATATAATAACGTTTATTAATTACGTAAATAAACTAACTATAAGAAATACAGTACATAATATGATAAGTGGTTAATAATTTTAATATTTTAGTTAGTTTAATTATTTTTTTTGATAAGTTTTAATATGAATAGTCATCCATTGATCCATTAATATACTCACGGTTGAATTTTTTTTTTAACCTTACCGTTAATAAACGTAGTTTAGTGTACACGGGGGAAGAGGTGTTATGAAGATCATGACATAATTTTAGTTTAAGACGTCTAGGTGGGTTTCCAGGAACGGAAGGGATTGCAAGATTTTATACTAATGAGTTATTTTTGGAGGTACCTAAGACGATTGTGAAAGTGTTAGTAATATATTTTAGCTTCTTCATGAACTAATTTTAATTTTAGATCAGGATGGATAATGTTGTTCAAGACATAAAAAAAAGGTATTTACAAATTTTCTAATTGCTATATTTTAAAATGTTTGATTTTTTTTAAATTTCCCCATACATCCAAAATGGATTAAGGATTTATTGATGAGCCGTTATTAATGTTAATTTGTTTATTATTATTAATAAATGTTTTTAATAGACATAATCGAGAATCTAGATTGAATTATTTAAATTAATATGCTAGACTCTTGACTTAAGACCGAGGAAAGTCTATGATCTAAAGTTAATCGAAGATATTAATTGTTTATGAGATTGGAATTTGTATACCATAGAGGGAGACTGGCAAGGCACAATTAATCTGAGAGTAAATATGTGATGATGTATATATAGATTTAGATTAATTTATTTTTGCCTCCATTTTGTGTACTAGCCTTCCATAATGGAATAATTATGGAAAGGTGATTTTATGTTGTGAGAAGCGACAATGAGATTAGGATTTACAGAATTATATTAGCCTTGTAATCAGCGTAATTGGCGACCAGTATGTTTAGTATTATGGATTGATAAAAAATGTAAATGCAGAGTTAAGAGAATAAAGTTTCACCTTGAAGAATATCTAAAGAGATTTTAGCTAACTAGAAAGCGTTGTGCCGAAATGAGTACTGAAATATCTATTAGAAAGATAAGATTTAGCGATTAAAAAATAGATTGGATGCAAATACTTTCTTTTTTTTTTTGGTTTAGATAAGAGCCTATCGTGCCAAACCTTGTAAAATGTCTAAATACGAAATATCAAGAAATGTCTATGTGCAGGCTATGTGCAATATGATTTTTTTTTGAAAACATATGAAATTACATCTACAATTCTAAACCCTTGGCCATCCTGTGGAATCTGAACTCAAGATACTTTATTAGTATTTTTTTTTGTTTGAATTAAAAGAAAAGAAATGTAGCGTACCGCTTCGTACATTTTTAAGAGCACTTGAAGTTCAAATATTGATAATATTTTAAAGACTGCATACATACTACTTTTATTCAAAAATATGTTTATTTTACAAGTATTCGATATTTCGATTGATCATTTTCATTGTTAAGTCCTGTTTCGGGAACTTAGCTAAATCATGATTATCAATATTATCTTGTCATTCAATATTATTGA